ACATGTCCACGGCACGCACCGTCTACCGGTGGTGGGTCCCGCGTCAGCCCATTGCCAGACGTGTCCACAGCACGCACCGTCTGCCGGTGGTGGGTCCCGCGTCAGCCCATTGCCAGACGTGTCCACAGCACGCACCGTCTGCCTGTGGTGGGTCATCGGGCCGGCGACACCGAGAACGCTATTTCGCTGCACCGGGTGGATAGTCCTGTGCGGTGACCAACGGGACCAGGCTTCGCCCGCCTCTGAAGCACCTGGACGGGCTCCGTCTGCCACTGGCTCTAATGGGTGCCGGCCGGGCCTCGTCCGTCTCTGAGGCACCTGGACGAGCCTCGTCTGCCGTCGCCTCCGGTGGCCGCGGGCCTCCATCGCATGTGTCATTATCATTCCATCCCCCGCTGCGCCCGGGGCTTCCGATTTTTGGCCGAGCTGAACGTTTGCCAGCGTTCATTTGCATAGATAATAATGCGAGAGTTAATTACAACCAAAGGGCACATCCACGGGACAGCGGTGAACAATTCGGAGCGTGGATAAGTTTGTTTGGAGAAGCCGAGCGGGAGCTCTTTGTTGATCATCGCGACGGGCGCAGGCCTGAGGGCATACCCAGCCTGTCGGCGGCACCGCTCCCACGTTGCATGCTGTTAACAACAGCTGTGCAACGCTGCAAGGCAGCGCGATGGGCGAGTTCTCCGTGGGTAGGATTTCCTTTACTTAGTTCACCAGCTGCCCATAGGGGCATGTCAATACCCACCTTCTGCCAATCAGTTTGCGTTTTGTCAGAGCTTAAGTCGCAAATCATCGAACCATTTTAGAAACATTCAGGCACAAACTTGCACCTTTGTGCTGATGGTTCCAAAAGCAGTGTGAATGGAGCTAATCGTTACTAAAAGAAGCACATGCAGTGACACAGTGAGATATATCTTAACGTATCTACCCGGCTTGTAAACCGCTCCCCTATCCACACCCGTACCTTGCCCAAAATCTGTATCCAGCCCGGCCCGATAGTGTAGTGGTTAACTCGCCTGCGTTAAACATTGCTAGTCTGGAAAACGAGAGGTACAGGATTCGTTTCCCGCGGTGCCCGCCCTTCCTGCCAGAGTGAGAGACGGGCGGCACCATATAGCATCAGCAGCTGAGTACGCCGTAAAGGCCTTAAGACGATAACCATTCCATATGGGTGCCGATAAGTTTACCTTACCCATGAAGTTCTCTAGCGCTGGGCAGGGCCAAAGTCTCCTATCCCATGTTTGTTTTGCACGCGCCCAGGATGAAGCCCAAATCACCGGGGGCACCAATCTTTAACAGATAAGACAATAGATGGTATTATTCCTCGCAAAAAACAGGAAAATGGAGAGACGGATGCGATGCGTAGAAATAATGCATATATCGTTTCCTTCTCCTGGCTTTCCTTCGAGGAATATGGCTATTTTACTGTCTTATCTATATGCATAATATTTCTCGCAAATGCACCTAACAACTTATGTAATCTTTAAACAATTTAAACTTTCCTAAAGCACATGACCTCAGAAAAACGTACCCCTCGCCAACCGCCTCCCCCCCCCCCCCTCCACTACCACCACTGAGAGTTAAGGGGCTCCACTCGTACAACTGGTATCTGCTGCCCTGTGCTGCATGATGTTTTTTACCAATGGGTACTGACATTGAC